TCCCGGACGCTGCTCTGTGCTTAGACTCTGCCGATAACCATTGTACAGCTCGGTGCTGCTGACGATAAACGCGGCAGCAACGTTGGTTCTGTAATTAGTGAACTGCTGCATGTTTTCTCGGTGACGGGTTCTCTTTAACACCTCAGACGGCTCTGATTCCCGGGACGCGTATTAGTTCTCGGGGCAGTGAAGCCGAATTTGTTCATCGTTGCCCCCGAGCTAGCAGTGTGCAGGCCCGGAGTCAGAGCTTCCGTCAGGTGCTTTGCATTGTTGCTCTCCGCCTGTATATTATATCCTGAGATCCGTAACACTCATCTTATTTTTATCACGGTTTATTATTCACTATTCTGCACTGTTTCCTCACTGGATAGCGCTGTGCTGTACCCGGGGCGGAGCACTGCAATGCCGAGCTTGGTGGTCAGATGTTACACAGCAGCATCTATAATGTACTCTCGCTGCGGCACCTTGCTGTGGAATGGTGCATTGCTAAATGATGTTGTGCAGCAGTGCAGTACCACCTCTGACTGGTCAGCAGTGCAGTGTCAGCTTTGGCTGGTTTGCAGTGCAGTCCTTGGCTGGGACCAGTGCAGGGCTCTCCTTGGTTCATCATCAGTGCAGTGCCATTCTTTGTTGGTCACCAGTGCAGTGCCGTCCTTCGCCGGGAGCAGTGCAAAGCCATCCTAGGTTACTTAGCAGTGCAGTGCCATGTTTGGCTGGTCAACAGTGCAGTGCCATCCTTGGCTTTGAAGCAGTGCAGGTCATCCTTTGCCTGGAAGCTATGCAGTGCCACCTTTTGCTAGGAGCAGTGCAGTGCCATACTTTGCTAGGAGCAGTGCAGTGCCATCCTAGTCTGAAAGCTATGCAGTGCCACCTTTTTTAGGAGCACTGCAGTGCCATCCTTGACTGGGAGCTATGCAGTGCAATCCTTTGCCAGGAGCAGTGCAATGCCATCCTTGACCAGGAGGTATGCATTGCCACCTTTTGCTTCGGAGCAGTGCATTGCCTTCCATGGCTGGTCAGAAGTGCACTGCCATCCTTGACCTGGAGCTATGCAGTGCCATCTTTCGCTAGGAGCAGTGCAGTGCCATCCTTGACCTGGAGCTATGCAGTGCCACCTTTCGCTAGGAGCAGTGCAGTGCCACCTTTCGCTAGGAGCAGTGCAGTGCCTTCCATGGCTGGTCAGCAGTGCAGTGCCATCCTTGACCAGGAGCAGTGCAGTGCCATCTTTCGCTAGGAGCAGTGCAGTGCCATCTTTCGCTAGGAGCTATGCAGTGCCATCTTTCGCTAGGAGCTATGCAGTGCCTTCGCTGGCTGGTCAGCACACAGTGCCTTGATAACATACAGTTGCCTCTTTCAGCTTCTGCTCTAATCCTATTGGTGCCACCTGACTGGCTGCATACACTGGGGACAGGTAAAGGGAGAGAACATTTCAGCTTTATTGTTCCTGTCGCTGAGCTGGGCCCCTCAGTCATACCGGGGGGCCCCAGAGAAACGCGTCAGGCGTGCTGACGCAACAATAAAGCGTTAGAGGACCGAAAGGTGATGGCAGACGGCGACAGATCAGTGACTTGGCTGTGTAAACCGCAGGCAGAGTCACAACACAACATTGGTAACACTGAATGCTTGAACTGTAACACGACTGTTTTGGATGAATGGCAGCAGCCGGACGAACCCCCGATTGGCTTCTCCATCAATAAAAGGTTTTATCTTTGTTTCCAGCGGAGCCCAAAGTCTCACTCTACCCAACGCATACACTAAGGGGCCTATTTATAAACACGTCTTACCCGTGAAAGTTCAATTTGGAGCGAATAATGCTAAAAACGAATGCCGGTCATATGTTTTGCTCCCCCAGTTTGAATGTAGTGTGTTGTAATAATACATAACGGCCACTAGATGGCGCAGAATAAAAAAGTATTTATTTCCGGTGCTCCTCAGCTCCATCTAGTGGCCGTAATGTATTATTACAACACAACACTGGAAGGGTGAAAAATATATTTCAAGAATGTGAGTTTTCGGCATTATTCACCCAAAATTAACATTCGCGGGGCAAAGGGCCCTATAAATTGTTTATAAATAGGCCCCTGAGTAATAGGAATGGCTGCAGCAGTTGAGCCGGAGTCCATGAAAGATGGGGGCTCCCGCCCCATGCCGGAACATCAATTCTGGGTGGATTTAGGCTTTATTCCTGCTTACCCGCAGTGTGACCGAGCCCCCTGCCGTATTCCCCCCCGCGCTCTGTGTGTAGGCCTGTCGGTGCGCTCCTCCTGACTTCCACATAGCTGCATGTGTACCCCGTAGAGCTGGTGTGTAGGAAGCGCAGTGATCCCTCCCTGCTTCTGTGTAACTGGTGCTTCTCTGAATGTTTCTCCACATAGTCACTGCCCGATGGTCACGTTCCCGCCATGAGAATGGATAGGGGTGTCTCTATGCCCAACATGTTGGAACCAAAGGCAAGTTTCTCCTTCATACACTACAAGACATGGCGTGGATGCTTTTCGGG